CTCCCAAGTAGCTGGGACCACAGGCGCCCGCCACAGCGCCTGGCCATTTTTTGGTTGCAGCCATCATTGTTGCTTGGCGGGTCTGGGCTGGGGACTCCAACCCGCCACCTTAAGTGTATGTGGCTGGCGCCCTAACCGCTTGAGCCACAGGCCCCGAGCCTAGTAAGTTTTTCAAAAGGTGCAACAATGTGTAATACACCTGGCTTCCTACAGACATAGGGTACCAAGCTTCATCCTACCTCATGGGGGCTGGGCAACTTTAGTCAGCCTGGACTACATATAAAAAGGAAGAGCTGAGACATTAGAAAAATTATAAATATCGGTACCATGTCTGTGGGGTCCCTAATCTGTTCTCTTACATATGCAGAACCAGTGTAGATATACTGAATCTAGATGGTTGCAGAGAGCTCTTACCCATCCGGTCCCTACTCCCACCCCACAAGAGTTAAGAAGCCAGGGTGGCGATTATTTTCCCAGACGATCCCTAGAGTGAAGGGCTACAACGAGGCAGGCATTAATAAGAATCTTAAATTACCACAGCAAAGTGTTAAAACGTGGTCCTGGATTTTCAGGACCATTTATGCAGAGGGTAAAACTGCTTTTGCATTTTATGAAAATGACTTCTGAGTATTTCCAAGTCTCTTTAAGTATAGCGATAGCCAAACTGAAAACGACATGTTGATTTCTCCTAAAGCACCAACAATGAGACTGTAGAAAAAGTGCAGTGGTTTGTCTGAATATGTGTATGTTATGTGGGAAACAGAATATGTGCAGGAAAGAGTTAACGTAGCAGGCCTGAGACTGCTACCCCGAGAAAGGACTGTTCGTAGGACTGGACCTTGGCAAGTATCTGGCAACTTGAGTGGTACCAGTTCCTCACAGACTTGCTATCAATGATTACAGCGGCTCAGTGTCCCCCTCAGTGTGGTTTATGCTGAACATCTGCTTTGGTTCTGGGAGTTTGAGATTTTGGTATGTGCTCGGCAGAGGTGAATATGTGACCAGTCCCCAGGAAACCCCTTGGCCACGGAGCCTCTAATGAGCTTTGCAGACGGATAACTTTTTACACGTGTCGTCACAATTTATTCTCGGAGGAATTAAGGGCATCCATTTTGGCTGTACTGGGAGAGGACGCTTGGGAGTTTGTGTCTTATTTCCTCTGGACTTTTTCCTGACTGCCTTCTCCCTTTGTGATTTTGCTTTGTATCCTTCTGCTGTGATAAGTCTTAGCGCTGAATACCATTGTATGATGAATCCTGAGTCTTCAGAGTGGTTTCCCAAACCTGGAGATAGTCTTGGGGACCCCTGACTCAGAGGGCAACAGCCACCCTTCATGGTAATGTTGAATTCCTCTTCGGGAAAATTAACCGACTCTTGGATCATTCAGTATATACCTGCGTTCATATTGCTATTTTTGTACAATGTCGCCTTCTCCATTGCTGGTGCTCAGCAAAAGTGGAATAATATTTACATTAGATGTGATGAAGCTAAGACCTTTTTATAATCCCATTAGTCAAGGACTCTCAAGTTACAGTTTCTGGATCAGCTGTCACTTAATGATCTTATTTACAGGTATCGTTTTTTTAACCACAATATCAACTTTCATCTTTCTGTGGGTAAAGCAGCCAGATACAGTAGCTGCAGAAACCATCACTGATTCTTGTCACAGAGGATAGGACCCTGAGACGTGAAATCTCAAGGCTGTATGTGGAAACTCAGAAGATGTCTTGCTAGGATGAGACACAGTTAATGCAGGATTTAGAAATCTTTTCTGACAATTATGCATTTCTAGACCTGAACCTTAATATTGCATGAATAATTTGACATTTAAATACCACCCCCTCTCTTTTTTTTTTTTAAAGGCAAAGTATGTGTAGGAGAGAATCTAACAAGCAGAATGATCAGCTTTCTGTGCATTTAGAAATATCAGCTTGAGTTAAAATACCGTGATAAAGTACTTAAAGAGCTAATGATTAAATGTATGTAGTTTCTGGCTAGTCAGTTAATAAATTTTATTTTAAATTTAATAAGTTACTGATACCTATATTCTTTACAGCATGGTTTCAGAATGGAAGATAATAATCAATCTGAAATGTTGTAGCATCAAATGTTATGCTTTTAAAAATCAGAAAAAGAATTCTGAATGAAAGGTATTATTTTGTTAAAAAATTCAAATGCAAATATAGGATTCACAAATATTAGACCAAAATTGGATTTTTAATGACTTGAACAATTAAAAAATTAATAGAGAAACTAGTTAGTAGTTTTCTAACTACTAATGAGAGAGACAATAGTGCTTTTGCAGCATGGGTAGAGACACATTCTAGTTTGGATTTGGGTGTTGAAAGATACGGCTTTGGGCCAGGTGTGGTGGGTCACCTGAGCTCAGGAGTTCAAGATCAGCCTGAGCAAGAGGGAGACCCCATCTCTTAAAAAAAAATCCAGGCCTTGTGGCAAGTGCTTATTGTCCCAGCTACTAGTGAGGCCGAGACTGAGGCTGCTGTGAGCTATGATGCCATGGCGACAGAGTGAGAGTCTGTCTCAAAAAAAAAAAATAATAATAATAAATAAATAAATACAGTTTTATTGGGAAATGGTGACTATGATCTGTATTTTATATAACTTAGATCCCAGAGATCACTTATTGGTAATACTCCACTTTCATGAGTTCTACTTCAGATGAGTAAAGAGAGAACGAGATGGGAATAACTTTATATTTGATATGGAGAGAAATAATCTGATACCTACAGTTAAAGACAAAAGTTTGCAAACATCATGTCATACTTCTAAATAAATGGAGGAAAGAAATCAGAATTGTGATAGAATAAAATTTTATGCTGTCATTATTCTCAGGTGACTGGGATTTAAACTGTTACAATTTTAGAACATATGCAGAATATTGGATACAAAATGTTAAAGTCTGATAGGAAGTGAAAAATTCATAAACAGCAGAAAAAAATTTTCTGCAATGCAGAATGATTGCGTGGCAAACTGAGGCTAATTCATGAATATGAAGCTATATTCCTTTGAACTAAGGCAATTTTGTAAAACAAATATAAATGTAGTTATAATGATATCCTTGTCAGAAAACTTGCTTTCCTTTAGGAACTTTGTTATTATCCCTCAATTAAATTATTTGAAACTATTATGATAATTTTTGCATTCTTAGTCTTTGTATTATTAGCCGTCATTTTAATTTAGTTCCCTCATCAACCTTCATGGAGAGAGATAATCTGATACCGTCAGTTTATTCTCTTAAAATTCTACAGATTCACTTCTCATATTCTTCAAAATTAAGGCAAGGATTGCCTTATCTAATAACTTTTCTCAATGTTTTGTTAATATCAAATGTTCATTTTACTATTACTCTTATCTGCTGGGGAGAACAGTCATAAAGATAAGAAATCTGAAGTCTAGAGATGTACAAATGTAACAAGAACAGAGGTGACATTTAATTATTTGAAATAAATACTGCAATTCTGCCTTTCTGCAATGCTTTCCTCAGTACAAATCTTTCAACAACTATCTTAGTTTACTTTTACGTAAGAGATGTTTATTTTCTACCTTCGATATACTCAAGGTCTAAACTCTTTAGTTAATTCCTTAATTTGTGAATATTGACAAAACATAAAACTTTCCCCATAAAATGCTGCAAAATGCAAGGGAAAATCTATGACCCCTGTGCGTAGACTACACTTGCACTATGAGATACGGATTCTAGGCGGTGGGATCGGCCCATTGCTGTTCTAATAGCTCAGTTTAAATTTGGGTCTTGGCAACAAAGATAAAGATACATTACTACACTAGGGACACTCAGGTGGTACACTGTGAATGGTTAACATTGTAAACTGTAAGTTCGTGGATGCCAAAGGTTAGCCTTTCCATTAAATACAGGGCTTGATTCTGGCTGTGATACAAAGATAGACAAACTCTCCCTCTATCTGCTTTCAGGTTCTTCATGCTGATTAGGCTTGTCTCTGCCTAAGAAGGTCACGAAACACACAAAAAAACTCAACTGTATCACATCTTAATGTGATGCCAAGATTGATGCTCTATTTCCTGGTCATATTCTAAATAGGGCTATATGGCCTTAAAAAAAGACAAAGTAGTAAAGTGTACCAGATGTAGGAAGAGATAGAAGGGAAAATAAGAAAATACTCCTCCCATCCAGTCTGTTATTGATGAACAGAAGGTCTCCTTCTGGGAATGTTTGAAAGCCTACTCTTTCTTTACTACGTGGTGGGAAGACTCAGGCTTATTGCTATTCAACTGACTTTGATTTTTTAAAAAAGGTCTGCAGTCTGAGCTAAGGCAAGAGCAAATGATTGATCCTAAAAAAGATACTTTTGGAAGCAAAATTAAAGATTACAAATGCAAAAGGAGCAGGGGTGTCCAACCTTTTTCTTCTCTGCCCCAAATTGGAAAAATGAGAGTTGCCTTGGGCCACACATTAAATAACAAACACTAATGAAAGCTGATGAACACAATAAGACAAACTTTTTGCAACACTGTATCTCCGACACCACAGATAAGCAAAACAGGCCTCAAAAATTTAGTATCTGGGGTGGTGCCTGTGGCTCAAAGAGTAGGGAGCTGGCCCCGTATATCGGAGGTGGCAGGTTCAAACCTGGCTCCAGCCAAAAACTGCAATTAAAAAAAAAAATTTAGCATATAGCCTCTGGGAAACAGATTGGACACCCCTGGTTATTTCATGTTAAGGAAAATTAGTTATTTCCATATTTGCAAATAATCAATGACAATTATAATCACAATCAATAGAACCAATTCTGTTAAAATTAATTCTATGAATTTCCATCTTAAAAAGAGTTATCCATTTTATATTTATTTCTAATTTTGTGGTATTTGACATATTCAAATGAGAAGGCTCTTGAAGAACAAGGGCATATAAAAATGGTGTCTACTCTGGGAGGCCAAGGCGGGGGGATTATCAGAGCTCATAAGTTTGAGACCTGAATCACAGCGAGACCCTGTCTCTAAAAATAGCCAGGTGTTGTTGCAGGTGCCTGTACCTGTAGTCCCAGCTACTTGGGAGGCTGGGAGGCAAAAGAATCACTTAAGTCCAAGAGTTTGAGGTTGCTGTGAGCTATGACGCCATGGCACTCTACCAAGGGTAACAAAGTGAGAGTCTTGTCTCAAAAAGAAAAAAAAGGGTATGTAAAACATTTCTCCAAGAAAATAACCACAAGAAATAATTAACTATTTTTATTTCTTTGAAGAAATATTTAGGATTATAGCTATGATTCTGTACTTTATAAATGATAAAAATACTAAATATAGAAATTGACTTCTTATTGTGCTAATTCTTTGTAAAACTGCCTTTGTTTTCTTAAGAGACTTCCATGATTCAATACTTAAGCTATTATCTAAAATGGATGCTAGTTACAAGAGCAGTAACTAAGGACACCTCTATGTTTTCCATAATTTAGGATAATATTCTGATGATACCATATGGTTGAATTTACAAAAACTTAACGTTTATGAATAGAAATAGTTAACGAGAGAGGAATAATAAAATGTATTACTTACCTTTCCAGAAACAATCTTTTCATAAATCTGAATTGGCTGGTCTGCAAAGAATGGGGGGTAACCAGCTGCCATCTCATAGATTAGCACTCCTAATGCCCACCAGTCCACTGCCTTATTGTAGCCCTAAGATAAACCAACATCAGTATCAATCATAGCTTAGGTTACTCAGAAGAAAATAACAGCATAGGTAATTTCAAAATGATCTAGAAGCACGTGAGAAAAATTTTAAAACAGCTGATGAACAGATACTCAGGATAGAACAAAATGCATCAGGTCAGGTTTAAATTAAACAAAGGGGAGAATTTCCAGCTTTGAAATTAGATATTAGGAAAGATTATTAAATCTTATTTCCAAAGTCATTAAGAATATTATGAACAATGAAATATCCTCTCTTTCACTAGGATAACTTAGTTGTTGCTCAATACAAGAAGGGCTTCTTAAGGCCTATTTCAGGCCCATAATCTTATGAATCAGGTTTTTCATAGCATACCTAGAATGGTCAAAAGTTTTGAAAGAAATCAGAGATATTGGATATCATAGTAAATGGTGGAATTGACTTCAAAATTCTCCATATTGTTGGAGGCAGGAGGGTGAATGTACTAGGGGAATCCCATCCACTTCCTAGGATCTTGTGACAGCTAACAGTTTAATATGGAATCTAGTTCAGGTAAATATTTACATAGACTTTACTTTTGCTATCTGCATTTTTGCTTTTCATCTCTACAAGGTACACAGGGAAGGCATCTAATTCATACCTTTTGGTGACAACTATATGTAGTGTTCAGTGAAAGAATAACTTGAATAAAAAATGCTTTGCAAACCAAATGTATAATATAAGGTTATAATTAATTGTTTTTTTCATATTCAACTTACTAAAATGAAGACCTAACGGTGTTCATGAGAAGATAAATACGAGTAACATGTTTATATTATACATTAATATAAAATCTACCAACTACGATCAGTATCATTTGGCGTCAAATAATATCAAGAAAAACTCCACAAACTAATCACACAAAGAAATAAGCTGAGTTCTTTCAGATCACTGTTCTGCCCTCAAATGTACCCTCTGCCATCACCACTCCCCACGTTCCACTATTTAGTTTTCAAATAATACTATGCTATGGACATTTATTTCTTTTTCCTTCCCAATTCTGACTTTTTTTTATAGATAGGGACTGGTATAATAGGAATAACACTTTGTTTTGCGGACAGAAAGGAGCACTGACTTTGTTCTCACTCTTTCGTTCCTATGTTTTAAATTGCGTGCTGATTTTAATGGCAAATATGTCAGATTATAAGTTAATACTCTAGGTATAGATAATTAAAGTCAGTACAAAAACATTAAATTACAATAAATAAACAGGCAAAAGACATAATCTAATAATTTACACGCACACAAATATCACACGGCTACTATACATTTAAAGAATTAAATCTAATAGTCAAAGACATGAGAATTAAAAAGTGAGTCAGCATTTATTGCCTATTAAATCGGTAAATATTTAAAAGAGAGAATCCTTAGTGCTAGAAAGGGTGTGAGGAAATAGATACTCTCATACAGTATTGGTATGCTCATAAGTGTAAAACTGTATACTCTTTTTGGAAAGCCATTTGGGAATAGGTACCAAGAACCTTAAAAATATTCCTATCCTTTGACCCATCCCACTTCTGGGAATCTATCCTCAGGAAGTAATATGAAATGCAGAAAAAGTTTTATGCACAAAGATGTTTATCGCAATTATAATAGCAAGAAAAAAACCCATAGGAAAATACCAAGAAATCTAACAAAAATTTTCAACAATAGACGAGTGGCTAAATTCTCATAGTACATTTGGAAACAAGCCATAAGGATGATGTTCACACGCTCGTTATCACCAAAAAAGCTAGACATAAAACAGTACAGTTGTCATTATTTCAACTGTAATGACATTCATAAAAATAAAAAAAATTACTTAAAAATGGCTACTTCTGGGTGGAGGGATTACATACAGGGTTCTTTTGGGGGGGAGCTGTTTCTTTGTATTTTTCTGTAATTTCCAAATTTTGCACAATGAACATCTATTCCTTTTACAACATATGCACATTTGTAAACATTTTGGTACCTGTTTTGTGGTCACATTATTTGTTAAGTGCACTTAAATAAGAAAAAATGTGTTAACAGCAATGATATTTAGATTATAAAAGACTACAGTGTTATAAATGATTTAAATTATGAAAGATGATGAGATGAACACTGAGAGAAATCTTCCGTTTTATTCTAGCACTTCTGTAGGTTAGTCAAATTTCGAGTATTCAGGTAGAGACCCATCTAGGCAGGTGTCTTATCCTTTTCCTTTTCTCCCCCTCTATTTGTGCCCAGTTCTTGTCACTTTCTTCTTCGTAGCTTTCTCCATGAAGGGATGGCAGGGGAAGAGATGTGAAACCATGCCTTTAGACATGGTTACAGTTTCACTCACCATGTTTTACTATTGGGAAAAGTAGAACTGCCTCAGTAAGACTAAAACTATTCCACTGCTGTAATATTCCTAGGAAACTAAAATTTAAGAATAATTCCTGTATATTCTTCTCATTTAAGTGGTAAGCCTAAAACGAAGAATTGACAACTAGTACGTGTATCTCTGGATTTGTCTCCAAAACAGAGCAGAACTTCCCCACCCTATTGTTAGTGGGAATGATTATGCAAAGATTTTTGACTTCAAAACATCAATCTGAAAATCATATTTATTCACACTATTTCTCTAAGACCCTGAGTTAAAATTGACAGGGGAGATGGAATTAGTGGCAGACTGTAAAATAATTGTTCTTTAGTAATCGAGCACACATCTATTTAAATTCATAGCTTAGATCAGATAAAAGTGTAAAATTAGATCTATAAACTGTTTTCACAAAAGTCTGTCATAATGAGTGGGTCACACTTCTACTTCTTACGTACTGACAACATAAAGGTACCTTGCTGAGGATTATTTCTGGAGCCAAATACTCTGGAGTGCCACATAATGTCCAAGTTCTGCCTTTAACTCTTTTGGCAAACCCAAAGTCTGTAACCTATAAAAGAAAGAAAGACATTTATGAAGATGTATTGACTCATGATAAATGTATTTAATGTACCTGAATTGAAAGTTAAAAACCCGTGGTTAAAATTTAAACCATGAGGCTCGGCACCCATAGCACAATGGTTACAGTGCCAGCCACATACATCAAGGGTGGTGGTATGGTGCCAGCCACATACATCAAGGGTGGCAGGTTCAAATCCGACCCAGGCCAGCTAAAGAACTGCAACAACAAAAAAATAGCTGGGCATTGTGGGGGACACCTGTAGTCTCAGCTACTTGGGAGGCTGAGGCAAGAGAATCGCTTAAACCCAAGAGTTTGAGGTTGCTGTGAGCTGTGATACCAAGCTCTATCAAGGGCAAAATAGTGACACTCTGTCTCAAAATAAATAAATAAATATATGAATGAATAAAATTAAAAATAAAAAATTTAAACCATGAAAAAAGTGGAAAAAAAATTAAGCCAATGTCATTGAGACTCATTCATGAAGGCCATTATTTAGTGAATGACAGTTTAAATAATCCAAGTTGGAAACTCATTACTGCACCCCAAACAAAGAAACAAATGAACAATGACTACAATAAAAAAACAAACAAACAAAAACCCTCCTCAGTCATTATCATAAGCTCTCAGAGCCGAGGAACCAAAGTGAAATTAAAAGGTAAAAATAAACAAAGTGAAATTAAAAGGTAAAAATAAACAAAGTGAAATTAAAAGGTAAAAATAAACAAAGTGAAAATAAAAGGTAAAAATTAATAGTATTAATAAAAATGTAACAAGGTGAAAAGTATGCCTTTAGTCCAACGCATCCTCTGCCATTAACTGCACCATCAGTAGTGTGAAAGCATCTGTGGGAGAGTCTATTGATCGCTGTATAAAAGGACGGTCTAACGCTATTAATAGTAGATCTGGGAAGGAAACATTGCCACCCGCCAGTGGTCAGGGCCTAAAGTGGCAGCTGCATTGTAGCGCTTACAGGGTGGACTCTGGGGTCAGACTATCTAGGTTCAAATTCTGACTATGATTTACTGACTAAGTGACCTTACTATGCCTTACTTATGTTAACCTTAAAATGAGGGATCCTAACAGTATTTTGGCTCATAGGGTTACCAGGATTAAAAGAGATAACACATGTGAAACACTTGGAGTATAATATGCCTGGTACTGATGAATGCTCACACAGTTAGCTATTATTATATCCTCATGCAGGAGCCTGGGCTCAGTTCACAACGACAGACCATGCGAGATATAAACAGGTTCCTTCCTTGATAGGATTTTTGCTTCCTCATAATAGTGGCAGAACTATGAGCTTAACTTAGGCTATGAGGAAGAAGTTACTGTCCTCCTCCAAAAAGAAAAAGAGCCCTTAGATCCCAATATTGACAGTGGGGTTAAATACATACAATTCCTTGCCTAGTATTTTCTCAAATACATTATATATAATGTGTTCAAGTCATACCTGGATGTAACCTTGATGGTCAATTAAGAGATTTTCAGGTTTGAGATCTCTGTAGATGAGGTCTAGTGAGTGGAGGTACTCAAATGTTAGCACTATCTGAGCTGCATAGAACCGTGCGTGGGGTTCACTGCAAGGAAAAGAAGATTGGTTTTCTGTCAAAGTGGGTTAATGCACAATAGATAGCAGATTATACATAAAAAAGGAACATGATTTAGACATACTTTGGGAGCAAAAGGCATTTTTGTTTTAAATATATGCAAACAATCTTGTTAGTTTCTAAACATTTAGTAAATCTCTAAATTCTCTTCAAATAATGTTTTGATCCATATGTTGAAGAGAAATAGGACCCTTAAATAGTTATCCCTATAAATTATTATTGCTCGTACTAGAAAATGTTAATGTCTTTATAATTACGTCTGAACTTGACAATGGTTGAAAAGTCCCCGTTGGATTGTCTACTGGCAATTGCTACAGTTAATAGGCGTGTTTCATCTACTTTTCTCACAAATTTCAAGAGCTTATAGAATTCCATTACATAAAAGTTCTTTTGGAGTAGCCCCAGGAAGTTGTTTTTGTAATAGGCCCTATTGAAATAAATGACACATGGTCATTAAAGAAAAAGAGATCATAAAATATTGGTGAAGAATAATGAACGCTCATAATCCCACCCAGAACTGGATGGCACGAGGACTTCCATACTTCCTACTATTTATGCTCTGACAGACAGACAGACATAAGTGTAATCTCTATGGCTGGATAAATAATGAACAGCTTTTTCATGCATAGATTAGATCAATTGATAGATTAGTGCAATTTTGATACCATAGTCTGAGTGTTACTCCAAAAGGATATACCCATTTTCAAACTGAGTTTGTAATTTATCTTCTGATGTATTCATGGAATTCTACTAATAAAGTATAAGGACTCTCAGATTTGTGTCCTCAAAGAACAATTTTAACTCTGAGTGAGCAGCATATCCCTCAAGATCATGGGCATAATTTTGACTTGGTAGCATCAGAATAGAAATTTTTTAAAATAAGAGTATATATCCTGCTCCTTTTTCTTGTTATTACATTTCCCAGGTACTCATCTGATACAACTCTAGTGGTCAGTAACTATTTGTTGAATGAATGAATGTGAAAAGAAAATGCTTTGAGGGGCAATATTTTCCTAATGTATCCTTCTGGTGTCAGCTCCATCCCAACACTATAATAATCTTTATCATACGTCAAATAATAAGGAATGAGGGGGACACTCTGAGCAGAGACTGAGAGAATCATCCTGGTCATTGTGACATTTATTCTTGAACTTGAAACATTTGACCTAGAAGGCCGTGCATTTATAAATACAGGATGCATTCAGTAGCTTATATTTCTTTCCATATGCAAACATTTCATAAAACTATAACCAACTTGTTGAGAGATGAAAATAAAATATTCTAAGTGCAATTTGTTATTGGGTATTTCTACTCAATATTTAAGGGAACGCAGGGAGACACCAGGAAGACCTAAGGCTGCAGCATCTTTAAGTCTAGACTTCTACTATTTAAGCAGAGAATCATTTTTAATCATTGATTCCGATTAAAGCTATGAAAAACAATAAATCATACTCTTGTTCTCAATGTTCCTAAGATGGGAGTTAGCCATCCTTCAAGTGTTTATGCAGTATTTGTGAAAGTTCTGAAAGTCTCAGTGTGAATTATTTCAATTAACTTGCTTTCCTTGTCGACTTCCTTGACTAATATTCCAAGTCAAATATTAAAGACACAAGAGTGCAGGGACCTACAAAGAACAGAAGCTAGCGCTTATAGAAAATGGCCAAAATGTTTTCTTAAGAAGAGGTTTAGGTATGATGCTTCAGTGTAAAACTCTGAATAATCATTAGGCAGCATGAGGATTCTGCTTAGACAAGGAGCAGTAGGAGGTGGAAAAAGTTATCCAAGGTGAGCAGAAACTACTTTGCGTCAGCACAGTGCCTGACACATATTAGGCGCTCTACACGTTAGGTCAATAAATAAATTTTGGCTCAGGCCCTAGGAAACCAAAATGGTTAGGTTAGTTAACTATTATCACCTGATAACATCTTGTGATGTTCTAAGTCTATCATTATCTTTTATGAATCATCAGTCCTATTAGGCTCATATAGTGTGATTGTAAAAGTTGATTGTACAAACAGGTCACTTTTTTATAACCTAACTAAATTGGTGTTGAGGGACCAGAGGAATACCTGGGGCACAGTGTTCCAAGAATTAAATTTCCCACAAGCCTATCCCTGAAACTGCCTGCTGACTCAAAACCAGTTAAGCGGAATATCTACTTAAACAACATGCTGCAACAATATTTTTTTACCCATCCCATCAACCAGAGCATACCAGCTCCCCAAAACTTTATTAGTGCCAGCGAACTTTCTTTCAGAACAAATATAACATTTTTCCTTTTAATAAAACTTCCAACCCCGTCATTGCTCACACCTGGTTTGTGTACAGGCCCTCGATGGCAATTCTTGCTTCCCAAATAAAACATTAAATTTAGAGATTTGTGTCTACATTTTTATTTTTACTAAGTCATACTTGGTGCCAGAAATAAGATTCCAAAACTGATTCACTTCCAGGAAAATCGCTGGCCATTGAATCACATGAGGTACTCACACTGCGGCCCTGTGAGCCCCTGTGCCTCTGTGGGGCATCTCTTTCCCCGCCCCTGCCCCCTACCCTCCACCCCCACCCCCCGCCGCCCCCGGCGAGTCTTTCTTGGACTGAACTCTTAATCTTGGTTAAGTTTTGTTTTATTTGGGATTTGGTTGGGATGAGGTCTTTCCCCTTCTGGTTGGAAGATCACAGGCGAGGGAGGGTTGTCTATTTCCTGTTGACCACGGCTGCCAGGTCTGGATCCTACTTCCAGAGGTTTATAGAGGGGATATTTTTCTTGCTTCATTTGGAGAAGCTTATTGTTCTTCCTGGGAAGTATGTACTTTATTTTCCGTTGACGCTTGTGTTTATTTGGCCTTTGTGTATTCAGCACTTGTGTTTAATTGACTTTGGTGTAAAACCAAATAACCTAGATAAATTTAGTTAAAAATGGGCTCTCAAAGGTTAAAGGTACGCCACAATATTTTCTGGGACTCCAGCTGGTAATATGTTCGCACCTTATAGGAATCATTTAGTCAGTTGTTCTGAAAACTGAACCAAAAGGCCAGGCATAGTAGTTCATGCCTATAATCCTAGCACTTTTGGGAGGCTGACTCAAGGAGATTGTTTGAGCCCAAGAGTTTGAGGTTGCTGTGAGCTATGATGCCAGAGCACTCTACCTAGGGTGACAGAATAAGATTCTGTCTCAAAATAAATAAATAAATAAATAAATAAATAAACACTGTTAGTTCTTTACATAAATGTTTTATTTTCTAAATTTAGGAAATTTTCCTTTCTTACGCTCTTTATCATTTACAACCATTTGGTAGCGTATACTTTCATAAACACAGATAAAAGCATCTTTTCCTCCTTACCTGATTCCTCCAGAATTCAAAAACTATTTGTGAATATTCTTATGACAATATGGCCATTTGCATAAGCCTGATAGAAATCTTGCTCTCCCTTTATAGCAGAATATAATTAAAAGCACTGGTGTAACCAATGCGATGTAAGTGTTCCTAATTGTCTAGGAAATCAGCACATTGTACCCATAAATACATTGATGTATACATATCTATGCGTTTATGATGTAATAAAAAAAAACACTGGTGTATTACTAAGATTTGACTGGAATATCATATTTGAAAATATACATAAAATGCCTGACATTTAGGATTCTAGCTTTATAGTGAGTAAATAAAAACTGTCACTTCCTGACAGGCCCAGAAACCTCCAGACTACAACAAGTAAAATACAGTGTCTGCTTTGGTTTGGCCTTCTAAGCCACAGGAGGTTTTTAAATCCAGGGAAAAACTACAGGGTGTCCCAAATGTCACCCCTAAAATTGCCATATGTATTCTCTGTGTTAGCCACCTTTTGGTAAAGTTTTGTAATGAATATTTTGTAAATAAAGCTACATTTAGCTACAATCTCCCATTTTCCTTAGGTATGGTCACATTGAGGGTGACCTTTGGGACAACCTGTATAATACACTTGTTACTAGGTTGTAACTCAGTATATTTTTTCTGCATTCTTGTTATCTACCTATAGGTTAGACTAGGTCCTAGATTCCAATAAGTTTCTTCAATCCAACTTTCTTACATAAAACTACTAAAACAAGAACTGTTCTGTTCCCCAAACCCTAGAATAAATTTAAGAAGCCCTAGATAAATTTTAAGAAACCAAAGTCTCATGCCTGGTACGTTCAATGGTTACAATAGGTCTTCCTTGGCTTCCCCCAGGATCTTTTAATTTGGTTAGCTTATTGCCCTTAGGCTTGGTCTCCTAGTTCAAAACCATCGCATAAACTAAACTTACATTATTTTTAATGATTTTTAATGATTTTTAAGCTCTTTTATTGCCTATCTAATCTTTGTAAAGCTAGCTGTCCCAACAGAATGTTAGCCCAACACCGAGATGATTGTCAATACCTATGGAAGTAATAAGATGGAACTCAATGCTGAACTCTAGATAAAACCACCCTGAGAAAAATATTTCTTCCATCCTATTTGTTAATGAAATTTGGCCTGAATCTCTGATATAGACTCCATACCTTCACTTGCCTGGGAACAGAGACAAAGGGGATAGGTCCATCCAAGCGCTAAAGGACAATTAAGACTAACTTCAAAATGACTGATCAGTGATACAAGATTGTAATTAAAAGGAAGGAATGAGAAAGTTGATTATACATTGGGTCATTCTTGTCATGCCCAACTAAGGGACAGAGGGATAAAGCACTTGAGGCACATACCACCTGCTACAAGAATTAAATTTTCCACAAGCCTAACTGCTGAAGCTAATGTAACCTGAGACCAGTTTTATCTAATAGCTACTGAAACCACCTGATGTAACCCAAAGACCCACTGCTGTCACTCATCAATCAGAGCTTGCCAGCTTCCCAAAACTTGACTAGTGCCAATGAACTTTCTTTCAAAACAATATATAACATTTCTTCTTTTGATAAAACCTCCAACCCTGTCTTTCTTTGTTGGACATACGAAGACCCCCTGATCTGTGTGTATGCCCTGAACTGCAATTCTTGCTTCCCAAAATAGAACATTAAATTTAGAGAATCATCTGAATCCTGAATGAAGCTGGACCTTGGTTTTAGCGTTATTCTATTAGTGATGATTAATGAACAGTAGTGACTTAAAAACTATTACACATAGCCAAAACCATCAGAATCAATAACCTATTTTAATAACTGTGAGATTCTATTAGTTATAACCTAATGAGAAGATACAAACTCCTCTTAAATTATGTATGTATTTAAAAAATTAAACAAAAAATTTAAAGAGAATTAAATTTGTAAAAAACAAACTTTTATAATCTCATCACCACATCACCATTATTATCATTACTATATACATATATTCTTTTTTTATCATCATCCTTACACAAGCCTGTCTCAGACTTATGTCATTAATATTTGTTCAATAAGTATTGGTATTTTATAAGTCAATTATTTTTGCACTTCTCAAGACTCTTGGACCCTCACAACAGCTACCAATTATTAATATTTAAATTTGTTTCATAGTTCTTTTATTTGGATTATAAAACTCATATATTATGTGGCCTCTCGTTAATGTTTCCATCTAATCCTTCATTAGCTAAAATACTAATTGATATGAATAAAATGAATTTTTAGTATTGGAACTGACTTTAAAGTTTGGTTTAAAACAACACAAATGTAGAAAGATGTGAGGAGGGGGAAAAGCGTTAGTTACCTGAATCTTCCAATTCTTCTTAAGTGTGAAAACATTTCACCCCCTGGGACATATTCCATAACCATGTATAAATTAGAATTATCCTATGAACAAATAAGAAAATGAATCAAAATTGTGAAGCTGGGTAAAAAATATTTTAAGATTACACCGCGTTCAATTAGAAAATGATAAATGTAAAATTCATCTGACATCGAGAATAAAAAGAAAATGCTCTAGCTTTTCCACACTGGGGCATTCATCTTTCTTTTCCCCTCATATGCTCGCCATAAATTAATCTGGGGCTTCTGCTATTCCTGCTGTTGCAGAGAACACTTAACTTTGAACAATTCAACACTAAGGCAGCGAGATGATGCTCTGGCATAAGCGAAGGATTAACCAAAGTGAGGAAACAATTTGTAAACGTGCGTAAGAATTTTACATTTTATGTACAAGACAGTCATGATTTTTAACATCTTAAATATATGGATCCTCATTTGATTTAAAGAATAAAGGTGGAAAAAAGATTAAAATGGTTTATATGATTCAACTTGCAGTAAGCCAGGTATCATTCTAAAGAGATGAAAAGCTGCCAGTCTAAAGAATATGTCTCGTGCAACTGTATTGGACACTTGAAGAGTGGAGCAAAGATGGTTCTGCCTTGTGCAAGTGAAAAGACGAGGACACAAGTTACTAAGTAAAAGAAGATGGTGAGATTATGGCAGAAAGGGTTCAGAAAAAGTGAGTGTGTTGGGTATAAGAACTGTGTAAAAAGATATCCCTATGGTTTTCTATAAATTGAACATTTGATACTGTTAACACCATCTCATGAAGAATCACACATAACACTTTGAACAATTTCCCCAAGGACAACCAAAATCTTTTAAAATGTTACCTAAGTTTATAAGCATAATAGCATTTAATTACATGAGAAGTAAAGATATTTCTTTTTTTGTTTTTTTCATATTCTGTAGGCTTGTCATCTGGTTTAGAATCCTATTCACAGTATCACATTTTAAAAAATACACCAGCTGGAAAATACCTTATGTAAATATCATTGAAGTTTACCTTAAAAGAATACTCTAGTCGAACAAGAAAAGGAAAATTCACTGCCTGTAATATTCTTTTCTCATTCAAAGTATGCTCTATTTGCTTCAGCTTAACAACCTGTAATTGAGACATAAATATATTTAATGTATTTAAGCAAAAAGTTATTATCACTTTAAAAGAAAAAAATATTTTTTCCCACGTATTACTGAACTTGGATAAGCAAAATTACTAGAGTTGGATAAGGAAAATAATAATTGGCAACTATGATTCAAATAAAAGGCCTAATTGAGGATTTGAAACTTGGTCTTAAGAAGGTCAACTTTATGGTTTCAGTTGAGAATTGAAAACTAAACAGGAACAAGAAACAGACTTATAAAAATTACTTAAAAATTAATATGTGAAAATACATAGGTCTTAATCACTTATGATCTACTAAATAAGCTGGTCTAAATCACTGCAATAAGTAGGTATTGATTTCAAATACTTAAGAAGTTGAGCAACAAAATTAAGGAAATATCAATAGTTGAAAAATAGGGGTAAAAATAAACAATCTGTTCATTTTATAATACCTGAATAGACACAGGTACAAACTGTCAAAATCCATTTACACTGTCATAGAAGAGGATACAAAAATGTTGGAAAAATACTACTCTGTCTTCATAACAAATGAGTCATTTAAATGTAATCAGGTTTCCTCTGGATCGTCTACTCAACAGAAGGAGAAAGTGCTTTATCTTAACTTCATGAACTGTGATTCCACATAGAATTCTAGTTTGAATTTAAAAATAGGCCTACATAAATAACAGTCCTATACTCATGGAAATCATTAGAAGGTGGTATTCTTTCTTGCTAGAGGTTTATTATCAATGCAGGGAGAGTCATAGATATCACACAGTTAAATATCAGGAATAAAAGTAATTAGAGATACCTGCCAGTTGTTGCCACACAAAATTAGAAGTATACCCATAATACTGAGGAAGGAATAACGGACCAGGAGTCCGAAGATCCATGTTCTACTCTATGCTTCCTATTCAGCCAGCTTTGTGACTTTGTAGATGTTATTGCAACAATCTCCAACCTCAGTTTTTTTCAGTGTCCAGCATGAAGTGGGTGGGTCACTGCTGCCCACAGTGTAACTAGTTACAGAACCAACAGTCCATAATTATCACAATAAATTACAGGTCTCCCTTAAGAGTTCCTGGGGGATTAGTTCCAGGATTTCGGCAGAAACCAAATGCCTGGACGCCCAAGTCCCTGGATATAAAATAACACAGGTTTTGCATATAACCTGTGCATATCCTCTGGATACTTTAAATCGCCTCCAGGTTATGTATCATATCTGATATAATGTAAATACTATGGAAATAGTTGTTAGGCTGCATTGCTTAGGAAACAATGATAAGAAAAAATAGTAGGTGCATGTTTAGTACGGAGGCAGTTTTTTTCCAGGTATTTTTCCATCCATGGTTGGTTGACTTCATGGCCTTGGAACTCAAGGATGTGGGAGGCCAACTACGTATTCATTATCTATTATATAGTCACAATCCGTAAGAATACAGATGAAAGCATTTCAAATTGTATGTAAAACCAGCACATTGTACCCCATGACTGCATTAATGTACACAGCTATGATTTAATAAAAAATAAAATAAAATAAGAGTATATTATGAATGTCTTACCACCAAAATAAGTGAGATGATGATTATGTGAATTAGTTTGATTTAGCATTTCACACTGTATCTCAAATCATCATCTTGTAACTGTTACAACTGTAACTGTAACTGTATACAGTTATGATTTAATAAAAATTAAGTGAAAAGCACAAATAGAATATAAATGAATGCAAAAATAAAATCATTTGAATGTATGAACGGTAAATCACGACATTATGCCTTTTAATAGTCTAGCTGATAAAACTGGAGTTACCCGCCGGGGACACAGCAATAAGTACAAACCTTCTGCTTATCTAAAATCTTCATGGCATAATACTGCTCAGTGGCTTTATGTTTCACCAACATGACTCTCCCAAATGAACCTGTTCCAAGGGTTTTTTTCCTTTCGAAATCCTCGAGCCCGGCATTATTCTACATACGCATAAAAAAAAAAAAAGTAACTTTAAAGTTAGAAACACTCTTTCGAAGACTATGATCACTGTAATTGCTTTAATAACATATAACCAGAATGGATAATTCAATATATAACTATCCATTTTAAAACAATACAGAAAGATAATTGAGACTCCAGGATACTGGTGCTATTTTCCCCTTTAAATAAGAAAGGAGCTAATGTCTGAGAAGATACTGCAATACAGAACGTTATAGTAACAGGAGAAAATAAGAGTCTCAGCGGCAATATTAAAGGTCACATTCCCACATGCATCTCGAGTACTGGGTTTCTAATGAATTAGTTCTATATTTAGTAGTTACAAACTGATCAGAAGTGTGCTGATGAAGGCTCATGTAAGCCACAGTCTCAGTGCACTTGGAAGGAACTGTGATGAACAGTTGGGCTGCAGGATCAGAGCCTTTCCCCGAGTTACCTCGGAGGAAAGCCCTGTCTTACTTCCTTTCTGTCTGTACACAAGCTTATGTAATAGAACTCGATAATGGCATGAGAGAGCCTACGGGCTTTTTCTCACTGATGTTATAATAACCCAGCATTACCTAAAACAGTAACAACAAGGAAGGAGGAGTTCCTCATTCCACAAAGAACCAAAAGGCAGAGGCCCAGAACAATACCCAGATTCTTTTTTTTTTTTCCCCCTTGAATGGATGTTTTGTTACAAGGAAACATCTTTGTTTGGCTGTGAGTACAGCACGGAAGCAAAGAATTAGAGGCATAAATCTATTGAATTTGTTGCTGCCGCAACAAATGAAAATTACTTGGAACAAATTATGTGCTAGATAGCAACAAGTAGTAATTGTTGAGCTATTTATTGAATAGATTTTCATTATGAAGATCTCCATATCTTAGGAAAACATTTGAAGGTCCAGTCTGTAGAGTGTTTAGCTTGAGAAAAATGTGATGCAGTACGATTCTTGTATAAGAGGAATCTGGATAGCTACTGGAGTTCACTGTGGCTGGATTTGATTTCCACTGCAAATCAAACCTTGTCTTCTGAGACACATTGTAGCAGTTTGTTGGACCATTAGAGAGAGAGCAAGCAATCTAAGGTTTATGTATAAAACTTGTTTCATCCTATTTTAATTTCATATTTCCAATAATTTAAAATCACCATGAGATTCTTTATCGGTGCAAAAAAGCTCTTATAATTCTAATTGAATTAATTAACTTTATGGATTAATATTTAATTTTTCATTTTCTCAACATAGATATGTTACAGAGATAGTTAGGATTCCAGCTCTCCTAAGGAAAAAGGACACAATGGGTGCTCTGCCTTAAGGCTCCTGTGGCAATTGCCCCACTTGGAAGAGGACAGTGGGCTACATCTTAGTCCTGCTCCACCTTAATCCCCTTTGGGGAAACTAACAGTCACAGCAGGGGGGAAAGGAGGAGTGCCCTGGGGCCAGACATCCCAGAAACAACAGGATTTGGACAGTGATTTAGAGCTAATTTTCATGCTCTTGACTGTCCATCAAAAGTGATTCCACGTGGGTGGGGGGGCAGCACCTGTGACTCAAGGAGTAGGGTGCCAGCCCCATATGCCAGAGTTGGTGGGTTCAAACCTGGCCTCGGCCAAAAACTGCAAAAAAAAAAAAAATTAATGCTGGAACTATGTGGAATGACCCCGCCCAGATGGTATAAAACAACCCCAGACCATTACCAGAACCTCTTCTTTCAGAGGGACAAAGGGGGCCACTTGCTGTCTGTGTGATGAGCATATTTTACTCGGCAAACCTTTATCTCGCCCTTGCTCTGTAAGCCTATCTTTCTCTCCCTCAATAAACTTTGTTTCACGCTTGCTTTGAAGGGTGTGGTCATTCTTGAGCCATGAGCATACCAAGAACTGAGAATGCAGACAACTGCCTGAACCCCCACAGATAGATTGAATATATTTAATGTATGTAATGAATAGCTTATAAATAAACATGAAGGGAAAAAAACAAAGAAGAAAATAATGTTTAATATAGTTGCAAATAATAGACACAAGAGTTATTAATAGATAACAGAACATCTCTTTATGCTGGTCATTGCTTTTCTTTGTATTATAAAAAATATGCCTTCTTCCTCATCTCCTGTAATGTTTCATGTTACATAATGCGTAACGTTTTGTAATCTGACCTCTAACCTTTGTGACTATGTTTAAATCACAGGTCATGCCCTAGGGGTGTCTGACTCTCTGTGCCACTTTGAAAGAAGAAGCGTTGTTTTGAGCCATACATTAGATACACAAATACCAGTGAAAGCTGATGAGCGCAAGAAAAAAAGGTCCTTGCATAATTTTCGGGAAACCTGCCACCACAGATAAACACAAAGATCCTGACATAGTCTACATGTGGCCCGCAGGCCGCAGGTTGAGCACCCCTGTCTTGCATCTTTAGAAAACATTCATTAGAATTCTTCAGTGGAAGAAAATACTTGAAATAAAAACTTCTTTTTGTCAGAAAGAGAAGACTTTCAATATTTATTTAGCTATTGAAGTTCATTCATTATTTGTAATTCTAAAATAGACATTTTGGGGACGTAGAGATGGCTCTTTTTATATATAGTTTTTGGATCTTATGCTCTGACGTCCTTACATTATATAGAACATACCCCATCAAAATGTTCATAGAAGTATCCTATGTACTTGGTATGTTGCCAATAGCCAAATATTTGTGATTAAGAATTTGAAACTACAATAGGACTCTTATTGTTGCAATTAATGAAAATAAGTATACTATCAAAGGCATAATTCAAAATTAACATATTAAAAATAACAATATTTTATAGTAACGTTTAGTTAGTATTCAAAATTTGTAGTTATATATCATATTAGAAATTAGCTCCTTCTCTAATTTAGGTCTACAAAAATTATTAATGAATGAATCGAAATTTAACATTGTAGCAAAATCCCCATGTTAAGTTTATGTTTGCTAGTGCTACATGAAATTAAAATTTCTGAGGGAGTAAATTTCATGATTTTACTTAACATGGAATATTTAAATTGAAGAAAATCTACATATTCCTTACCGGAGGAGGATTTTCCCATTTTTTCAAGAAGTCTTCTTTTGCTTTGGCTAGAAATTCTTTCACTGAAAATATACATAAAAACACATTTGTAAGAATATTTACATTACCTATGTGAATATGTATATCACATATACGTTTTCATAGTACATATAAGTATCATCTCTTAAAAAACACAGACTTAAGTTAACTATTGTGATGGCAGGTGCATTTACCACTGTGTTAAACTGGAGAGCCATTTAGTGCCCCTTAACAAGAAGCAGATACTTGCTGAGATTTGTAAGGATCTCTACTAGTGTTCTGTCTGGAAACCACTTTGATGATTTCAAATCTATTAAGAAAAATACTGTTCCTGAGAACAGTACTTCTAACGTGTCAGAAAGGTAAGGTAAGGCAGTTAGAGATCAATCCAAGACAAAATAGTGACTGCAAAAAACCAGAAGGGACACTAACAGAGCCTTTAAACGTAAGAGATGAAAACCTTTAGAGAATGTGAACCTGAGCTGTGGAATTTCAGAAATATTTGGTTTTGATGAAGAGCTGTTTCCTGACATAAGGAGTTATGTTATATGAGTGTTAGATTTGTGTTCTCTGTACCAAAGGCTGAGAGAAAAGGAAAAACCACTGACTAACACATACAGGATACCCACAAAGACTTAAAAAAAAAATAATAATAACACAGAACAAAACAGCACCAACCCAAATCCAAGCAGCTTAAAAGTCTCATTCTAAATTTGGGGCAAGAACGAAATATCGGAATGCCTAATTTAAAATGCACACCAAAGTAAGACAATTCAAAAACCAGATGTTCATACCTTAGTAATAGCCACACTGTTTTTTGGAGCAGTGGTTTGAAGTTACAAATTTGTAAATTAAACGATGAACCATTTCAAAGTTTTCTCTCTTTCCTTGTCTTTTTGTAAAATTATTAAGAACAGTTTCTGTTTACAAAACAACTTCAGGCATTTAAAGACAAATAATAGGGATAAAATTCCAAAGAGATAAAAATGACATTAACAAAGGTATCCTGGTTCTTACTGTGAGGTATGAAAGTAAAATCTGACCACACAAGATGTATTTATGTTAGTGTTGTTTTTTCTTTCTTTTTTTTTTTGGGTTAGGAAAGTTCCCAATATTTCTTTATTTGAATCTACAAAGAAAAAAATAACAATGAATAGAATTTGAATAGCATTGAAATAAAACAGCTGGAGTAGACAAGGTGAACTTGAAGTGGCACATCGGTAATTATTCTAGGAACACTGAGGGTGCTGATGATAAAGGTGAGGGTGATGAAGAAAAGACAGAATTAAAGGTGGATGTGAAGAACTCACAAATTCTTTAGGTCCTTTAATGAAGGACCTTACTGCAGGATGCAAGTAAGGCATTTTAAGATATACATTATTATTTCCTGCTTTAGCTCAACATAGTCCCCTTGGCAAAAACACTGCTACCAACCAAAAAGGCTGCTGGCATTTTAAATATTTTAACATTTCAAAATGACGATGACAGGCCTTAAGCGCAGACGTTACACTAGACCATAGACGTCCGAAGGCATTATTTTACTATGTTCTATAAGCTGTATTTTCATATAAAATATTGTTAATGCCTATTTTAGACAATTTGAGAAAAATGAGTTTTAAAATTAGAATTTTCCCACAGTAGGTAAATCTTATGCACCAAAACCAGGAATCAAATAATTTAACCTAATTGTCCAAATATGATCTAATTCTTCTCTGGGGATGGATTAAGGATGGTAAATTCTTTCATTTTCTTGGACTTTAACATGGTACAAGTCATCTTACTTTTAAAAGTTAATATACTAGTTACAACTGATGAAGAAGGGTTTTACAGGTATGATTTTTTTTGGCATGGAGCAAACATATCTGTACATGGCATTGACTTGGAAATAATGCCTATAAAATAAATTAAAAGCATAATTTATTGCAAAATGCAACTGTGGCTTTTAGGAAACAACTGCGACTCCCAAAATACACCTCTCATTTCTTTTGAAAAATATTTTTAGTTGTCTTTTATTTATAGAACTTCCACATCAAGTTGCAGTACAAACTCTCCAGATGCCTATATGAGTATGAATAATTTAGAAATAAGAAAGAGAATCAGGGAAAGAAAAAAATTCCTAACATCCTGTTTCAGCTTCTCCTGTCACTCTCTGTTAAGTGGATCTAGAGTTAAAAAATATATAACTGATCAAAGAAAGGCCTCGCAGTCTTTGCCAAACATAGTAAGTTGGGAAAAATTTCTTTTCCCTGCCTGATGACGATCTAAAAGAAAAATTTCAGGTGTTAATTTTATTCACTAATAGAATTTTCAGGAAATAGTCTCTGTACTCATCAATATTCTGAGTTCACTGTCAATCAACACCATAAATTTAAATAACTAGAGAAAAGCATTTAGAAGTAGGATTGTGGTTAGTGTTAAATAACATTTTACATAAAGGTTTTATGTCAAACTGATCAGATATGGGTATTCGCAAAAGATATTCCATTTTGTAAATTATATCAACATATAAAGGGATTTGCTTTTAAGTAAGGATGAGAATTAATTATAATGTCATTGTATACTTTCATGAAGAAAACTTTGTTTCTGAAATAACTTTTTGTCATATAAAAGATACATATACATGAAATCTCTAATTTATATATGCGTTATTTAGATACAAAGATGCACACAGTTAGCTCTTTGTAAAAATAGGTTAACCAAAATATACATAAATAAAATAAAATAAAATAACTAAAAATAAAGTATCTTATAATATGTTGGACTATGAGTAACTCTAAAGCAGTAAGTAATTCAGACCACATATATTTGCTTTGGGTTTTATTTTTAGAAAGTGGTAGATTTAACTTCTAAATGCTTCTCTCTGGTAATTTAAAAATTTCTATCCACTGACATAGGTGTTGGCAGATAATTAATAAAATCAGAGAGGGGAGAAGCAGCCAGATTCGAACATTGCACCATATTCAATCCAGAGTTCCCTATAAAGCATATACTTTGGAATTCTAAACTTTATAGTTTACTTGTATTCTAATACATAAGCCATATCTATATCTAACTTGAAACATGGTGATGGTTTTAGAGCTTGGCATGTCTGAGTTAGAATATTAGCTCTAATATTTCTCTGCTGTGTGACTGTAGATAAAATGCCTATCTTCAAAGTCTCAAACAGTGATTCGTAACTCTTCATGAGAAAAAAATCTATTTTACTCTATATGGATTGATAATGAAGCCAAATAGATACTACAGAAATAAGAAAGGCATACCAAACATTAACTTAATTCATCCCCAGAAGTATAAACTTTCAATTATATTTAATTCTATCTTCAATTTGTTTCATTTAGAGTGTATGATATATTGCATTCTAAAGGAAATGAGCATTCCAAAGGGATCTGTAGGTTCACCCAAAGTTTACCTGCAGGAACAGTTAACCCACATTCAGGAGAAGATAGGAAAAAAAAAGACCCAGATAATTTTGAAATATTTCCAAAAATTCATAAAACACAACTTAATTCTTCTCCTCCCAAATATTTTTGAATATTTTTATATATAGGACATAGTTTAAAAATCAGATTTCAAAGTGCATTTTAAACATCAGTAAAATTGACTAAAAATTCCAGCCTGGCACAACTTTATCTCATGTAATTCAGATAATTCTAAGTAGTATGATAAGAATGTTTCCCTAATAACATTTAGCAAACTTATGTATTAGCTGTCTTGGGGTTCTGTGTTAGATAAACTGGATCATTGCTTACCATACAGAGAACATGTTGTTAGTTATAGTATGCCATTACCTAATTCTTAAATGAGAATCATATTTGTAATAAGAGTTAACAAATTTATTTTAAGATTTATGAATGGATTACAACTGTTCCAAATGTGGAGTTCTCTAGTTTTTGTAATGAGATCAATCTTGCCTTCTCATTCTATACCACTCTACCTTTTATTCAATTTATATTAGAAAAATAGAAAGGAAACAAGCAGATAATAGAACAAAATAGAATAAAAACTTCCTTGGTAAATACCCAGTTAAAATATTGGCTGTTTCATTCAAAATTTACAACAGTATCTATTTTTTCAAAAGCCACTTATGAGTCTGGGTAATCCAAGTGGTGTATGTTAATCTATCTTCTGCACATCTTCTACTGTTCCCTGGTGCCATATTTATTGTGTATAAATTTTACACTGGAAATTGTAATATAAATCATCTCTATAGATATGACCCAGCATAAAATGAAACAAACCATTTCTTTCATCAATAAAAATATTTATTAACTCAACATGCTTAATACAATATAACTTTCATAAGGCAAATAAACACTTGCAAACACGTAAATAAAAAGTTTTAAAGGAATATTTGTTGTATTAAAAAGTAGTTGCCTACCAGATATTTCTGAAGAGGAGCAAGCTTGTGTCCAAAAAAAAAAAAAAAATAATAATGGAACAATTATTAAATTACACTTATAAGAATAACATATTAGCAAAAAGTTACCTATATACATTTTCCCAGAATATTATACACAGAAAAAATATTAATGTAGAAACTCGATTACACATAATTGACTGCATGTATTCAAATAGGACGTCTTAAAATTAAATAGTAAAGAAATAAAATCAGTAACTACTGGTCAGTGTCAAAATCAATACCATGCTAATTTTTCTCAAAAAACAACTAACAAAAACTTTAAGTCCTATGACAATAGGGCTAATAATTTTAAGAAGGAAGTATAGAAACAAGTCCTATAATTATTGCAATACCTTCTCTGGACCTCTGATACTCAGTTAAACTTTACTGCAGGGAAGACATAATGAATTATAACACCTTGGTGTGTTCCCTTCTGAGAGACTTCTGTCTTTTCCACTTCCTTGCTTCTTAGCTTAAGAATTTTTTCAACAACGTTTATCGAGCACCATTGAGTGGTGTCAGATTCTGAGAATACTATGAAGAATAAACATATCTCCATTGTTAAGCGAATGAGGAGCTAAATGGGAGAAAGATGAATCATTATTTTGGAGTATGATAAGGATTACAATGAAGGAAAATATAAGG